AATTTGGTCGTTCCTAAACAGCATTTTAGTTGAAACTCTGCTCACAGATGGACTCACACTGGCTAAATAAACGAATGAATAAATAAAAAAACACATTAGTCATTATATGTTAAACGGCATACCAATAAATTGTTGTAAACATAGTACTGGCAAGTGTAGCTAGAAATGAGGAAAATAGATTATAGGATATTTCCACTGCTGGGAGGCGAACCCGCGCAAAACTGCATGTCAACCTGACACCATCACCACTACACCACCATATCTGATAAAAATCAGGTGGCGTTACATTTTATTATGCTATTTGGTGTGTCTTTGGAGATGGGATGTATGGTTTATTGGCGGTGTCTCAGTAGAAGTCATTTCAGAAATAATTTGTCAGAAAATTCACAGAATATCCAGATTTGAGAACCAAAACCAGACCCGCTTCGGGGGAGGAGACCAAATTGAAGCTGAGATGGGAAGAAAATGCATGAATGAGGCCAAAAATGGCTTTGGCGTGTTTCTTATGAGGAAATGACAATATAACATGATTAAAAGTTCCAAAAGTTAGATTTTTAATTATATGGAACCTTTACAAAAACTGTTCAATTCACTTCTCAACTCCGTCCTCAATCTTGCATTTTTTAGCTATAACACCCTCTTTGGTTCCAGAATGCTATAAAGCCTGACAACTGGAAGGAATTGGACTGACTCTGATAGAATGGGCGGGGCTGATTCTGGAATGGGCGGGGCTGACTCTGGTGCAGCTCCACCTTCTGGTGCAGCTCCGCCTTTGTGGTTCTGCAGCGAGCACCACTTGCAAAATACCAGCTACTGTGTGTGCAAACCTGGTAAAGACCTATAGTAATCGTTTGACCTCTGTTATTGCCAACAAAGTTTATGTTACATAGTATTGAGTTGAATTTTTGTTATTGACCAAATACTTATTTTCCACCCTGATTTACAAATAAATTCTTTAAAAATCCTGCTATGTGAATTCATGGATTTTTTTTTCACATTCTGTCTCTCACAGTTGAAGTGTACCTATGATGAAAATTACTGACCTCTGTCATCATTTTAAGTGGGAGAACTTGCACAATGGGTGGCTGACTAAATACTTTTTTGCCCCACTGTACATTTATTTAGTCTGGCTTGCCAGGCTAGAATTGGGCTTTATTAGATTCAGGAGCAGATAGATGTATTTAAGTTATTTTTTTAGAGAAAAGGATGTATTTTAGCCTTCCTCAACAGTGGGCCGCCTTGTTTACCGACATCCATTGCGGTGAGTACGCCTCATTGTTCAGTAGCATGCGGAGATCATTTGAAAGCCGACGGTAGAACCTGCCCCATGGCCGAGAGCCGTCAACGGAGCATTGCCAGACTACAGGTGTGCCTTAGACTGCCCGCAATAAAAGGCCACCCTGACATTTGCACAGTTTTGCTTTATGGGGGGTGGTGTGGCAGAAAACCAGTCAGTATCTGGTGTGGAATAATGCCACTAACGGCGTTCTTTTTTGGGTAACGGAATAATCTAATTAATTACTTTTCCCACTGTTGCAACGCCATTACCGTTACTGGGGATGGAAGGTTATGCGTTAATATGTGCTTGTCGAACGTTGAGCAACAGTGTGAGGCTTTCTGATGCCACACTTCAGCTGCAGCCAGGGAGAGAGAGGTGTCGGTAACGCACTTACAAACACGATGATGATCGGCCGGGTGGGCGGAGACCCTCAGTGTTCTCACTGTCACTGCCTGCTGTAGACACAACAGAGCAATGATGGGAACTGTAGTGTAATAAACCGTGCAGATATCAGGCTTAGCTCGCCAAATGTAGTGAAATAGAGTGATGTAATGATCTAGAGTTGTATTTTAATATACTGTAAGTAGATCACTTGTTATAATCAGAAGATGGGCTGTTTTTATCATCAGGGAGTTTAATTAAACACTCTGTATTGACTTTGAGACAAGAAAAGAGAGAGAGTTGGGATCGTTTAAGAATCTTTAATTTCTTAATTATAAATTCTTAACAATCTACCAGGACTAACTCTGTGATGGATGAAAATGGATTTGGATGTTGTGTTGGTGCGTGTGTGTGTGTGTTGTTCAGGATCTTTAGGCTGACGGAGCGAATCTGGTTGTTATGACTACGGACCACGAGGCTTCGGAAGCTGATGACATGAGCAGCTATTTTGCCGTGTACGTACCCTGTGGAGTCTCCCAGGTAGATCAGGAAATGCCAGGTCCTAGGACCTCGGATGTGTACTGGAGCTGGTTGAAGCAGCGGTCACAGCACGTCAAAGCCCGTCTGAAGGGTCGACCCCGGTACCATCGGCAGCGTCAGCTAGTGGTGCTCTTATTTTGAAGGGCCGTCGTCTTGTTGGTAAACAACGGAAATGTCCAGTAGCTTCACAGTTCTCAGTTAAAGAAGAAAGCACATCTGGCCAGCTGTACTTCTCTTTTGATGACGGTGGAACCCCGTAGGACTTCCAACTGAACAGAACTGAAGTCAAAATCGAACTGCCCATAAAATGGCGTTGCCTTGTTTTTATATCTCTGATTTGTTTTAAGTTTCAGTAAACGGGATTGGACACTTTAATTCAACAAGCCAGATTCTCTTACGGCAGCCGAAAGCTCTGATTGGTTGGAACAATGTGTCATGCGTTTCTATGGAGATGAGGGTCAGTCTGTCTGTGCAGTAGTCCTGTTTTCATTAAACACATAAATCATGACATCTTTATTCCACAGATCATTCACTTGATTATTATTGATCAACATCTGTTTCGATTAGCTTTAATCACAAATTAAGTACTTTGATTATTGAAAAGCGTTCTTCTCCTTCTGGCTCTTCTCCTGGAATGTAAACAGTCTGAGGAACACCCGACCATGGCGTTTTCTACACGGGTGTTACTGTGTACAGGGGCAGCTGTGTGGAGCTGAAAATTATGAACTTCATAACGTTACAGAATAACGCCGTTTAGCATAATTTTTTCAGTAACGAGCAATCTAATTAATTACCATCTTCTTTTATCAAAACGTCGTTTCTGTTACTGATGATTAAAAGCGTGCATTAAGCTGTGCGGTATGTTGAAGCTGTCATCAGCTGATCAGGAACTAAAGAGGCAGATGTTTTCATCCAAATGCATCACAGCCCGGGAAGAACGAGGAAGACGTGATGAATAGTCTACGGCTGCAGGTGTGGATCTTCAGCCGTGCCCTTCTTAGCGTGACAGCGGGACGTCCCGAAGGTCCGCTCCTGATCTTCTACCTTCCTAGATCATCCAGCTGTAACCTGTTTTTGATCATGTCTTTAGTCCCGCTGTAACACTGAAACGTCATGGAGCTCAGGTGTTATTAGAACTACCTGTGTGTGTTTACCACCCAGCTTCAGCTCTTCTGTGGTTGGGTCTGACCCAAGTTAGTAAATGTAAGTCCTCCATCAGATTTGTGCGTCTTCTAGTGTCATTTTAAAGGATTTTTTTATTTATTCATTTAACCATTACTAGATTACCAGCAACAGAAATGCTACTAAAAACACACAATTATGTGAAGCTGAAAAAATTAAAATACTGTACAAATTTACATTCATTTCTGTAATTTAAGTAGACTGAGAGACCATTTAAAGGCACGGGAACCTTTACAGGTGTTTCTATTTGCAATCTTAAATTTTGACTGATAGGGGTCTTGTTAAATATCACGCGGTGACGTTTTAATAGTCTACTCTAGATTAGTGTAATGTTCCTGTTAGTAGTTCCTCCTAAGTGCTTATTTATTTAAATTATTCGAGTTTATAAAAAACATTTGGACATTTTATTATGTTCCAGTCATTAGTCATTTATATTTCACTGTTGTTGTAATTTGCAGTAAATTAAGTAAGTTTAATTAAGAGGGGAACCCATTTTTCTTGCATTCTTTAAAGAAAAAGTAACTAAGTAGTTATTTTTCTTGGTAATTAGTTACTTTTATAATCTCGTAACTCGGTAAGTAACTGAGTTACTTTTTGACTAAGTAATTAGTAACTATAACTAATTACTTTTTTAAAGTAACGTTCCCAACACTGGGTGTGGCCACCATTTGCCTCACGCAGGACAACACATCTCTGTGGCATAGAGTTGATCAGGTTGTTGATTGTAGCCTGTGGAAATGGTAAATGGCCTGTATTTGATATAGCGCCTTCTAGAGTCCTGGAACCCCCCAAGGTGCTTTACAACACAATCAGTCATTCACCCATTCACACACACATTCACACACTGGTGGGGATGAGCTACACTGTAGCCACAGCTACCCTGGGGCGCACTGACAGAGGCGAGGCTGCTGAGCACAGGCGCCACCGATCCCTCCAACCACCACCAGCAGGCAACGTGGGTTAAGTGTCTTGCCCAAGGACACAACGACAGTGACGGACTGAGCGGGGCTCGAACCTGCAACCTTCCGAATACGGGGTGAGCACTTAACTCCTGTGCCACCATCGCCCCCAGAAAAGTGGTCCACACCTCTTCAATAGCTGTGTGAAGTTGGCAGGAACTGGAAAACATGGTCATATACGCTGATCCAGATCCCAAACATACTCAATGTTAATCGTTTTAGTTTTTGTTCTTGTGAAGCACCTTGTGATTTTTATTTTGCGAGGCGCCACATAAAAGATTGTTTTCTTTTTTTCTACCATCCAGTAGAGGTAAAAAGTCCACTCGGCACAGTGAGGCTGGCACTGTAGAAAATGGCGGATTCAGATAGTCAAGCAGCTGCTATAGTGTTCAGGTTCCATATTCATCCACTAAACAGAAGAATAACAGCATTCTTCTACTTCCTCAGTTGACTTGATGGTAAACTTGATCTATTAAAGCCAAAATGTTTTTTGTACCAGGCAGTAAATATGTTTATTTCTTCTGTGACATTTGTATTTTTAACATAAGAGTCAGTGAGAACTTGCTCCTTTCTGGAGCTGGCCCCCAGGGGATGAGGGTGTTGGCTTCTTAGATGACTTCTTCTCCTTCTGTGATGTAACTCCTCCTGTCCTCCTACAGTGGATGGTAACACGTGGACGCAGGTGATTGCCTTGTACCCAACACTTGTGGAGTGTGTGACCTGCTCCTCCTCCGAGGTGAGCTCAGCCCTGAAGGAGGCCCTGGGGCCTTTTAAAGACTTTATGCAGCCACCTGTCTCCAAAGTCCAGAACGGGGAGTCATGACTGGGTTCAGTCTAAGCTCCTTGTTTTTATAATGAAGGAACCATGAACCTGTATTCTGATCCTGGGTGCTTCACAAGTGCTTGGACATGAACTCCACACGAACTCCATGTATGACAGGAAGCAGCCCCACAAGGCCGGCTCAGACCGCACCAAAGACCGCGGACTTCACTCACATTATTATGTGCTTTTCACGAGCCCTCCTCCATTTCATACATACAAGCTGCAGGAGTTAAAACGTTGCAGTGTTGCCTCTGGGGTTACGTTTTTTTTTTTTTTTTTTTTTGGATGAGGCTGTGTTAATGTACAGTGTGTGGTGATAATATTGATTATTAAGAAATAAAGCTAATGAACTGGGGCTTTATTGATCTTAAAGATGAACACTTTGACTTTTGTTAACATTTTCCACAGTGAATTTCTTGCAGGTTGTATGCAAGATGATGAGTTTAACTTAACATTCCATGTCATCTTTAGCCAGCTGTCTGAGAAGGGATGTACATGTCTGTGTGAAATAAACAGGACGATTCAACGCTCCACTGTGTGTCTTTGGTTCTGCTCATCAAACTGTTTTAACCGGATCTGACTGTGTTGATTAAAAATAGCATCATAAATTTACCTCGAATGCATGGATGCATATTTGAGCTAGAGAAGTACAGGTGAAACTCGAAACATTAGAATCTGGTGCAAAAGTTCATTTATGTCAGTAGTTCAACTCAAAAGGTGAAGCTTATACGTGAAATACTCGTCAGATATTTCAGCCTTTATTTGTTATAGTTGGTTATGATGATTATGGCTCACAGCTTATGAAAAACCCAGAAGTGGTGAACCAGGAAGCTTTGTGTTTGCTTTATGTGTTCTGATTTTATCGTTCCTGTCACATAACGGTGCTCTTACGTCACCGTTCTTGCAGCAATATTTAGGTGTGGCTGAAGGCCAGTAATGAACTGCTAATAGAATGTCATGAGGACCAAAAGTGGAAAAAGAGCAAGTGGGCTATCCATACTTGCTCACAGTGTGGGAGGGATGAATGCAAACTACACAAAGTCTCCAGCTGGCATTTGTACTGCAGCCATTCTTCTTTTGAGGTAACGGCACAACTTTGTCTCCCAAGATTTCAAAAGTGATTAGCATCCAGTATCTGTGGTTGAGTCATTGATAAATTCAGAGATTATATTGATTCAGAAATTCAAAACAATAAATTTGGTGTTTTATTTCAGGTCGGTAAAGAGGTACCTGTGCTTACATCACAACATCACAAGTTCCTTTTGGAATCTCTGTTCCAGAGGATCAGAAGTGCAAATGTGGCTTTGTACAACTAAGGCTGTCTGTCTGTGGTCTGAGGAATATGAAGAGTCAGATATGCAGTTGGCTTTGTGTCAACAAAGACAAGTGTTGATGCAACAGCCCAGAACGTTGGCTGCATATTGTAATCCCAGATTCTGTGAGTATCTATCAATTGGCTGATATTGTAAACATTCTCTGTTAGCCACTAAAGGAAAGATTAAATCTTCTATTCATTTTCCAATACAATTTCACAGTGGGATCATTTGTGGGGCTAGAGAAGTTGGGTTCAATGACAGCCATAAAGGTTTTTCTGTTTAGCTACAGTTTCCTGAGAGCCTTGCTTCAAAGAGAAGCGCCTTCATTTACACCCCCGTCTCTTGTAAGCACAGCCCCAAAACATGATCCAGATCACCCCTACCGTGTATTACCCAGCTGACCTGCAAATAAATGAACCAAATGACAAACTAAACTTACCTTTCTGACTAGCAAAACAGGAGAAAATGGTTTAAGGTAAGTCCTCAGATTGAGAAGACTAATTCATTTACAGGTGGGACTCTAGTTTCACAAGACAAAACTCACACAGCATGAGCACAAACAAACAGTGGCTAGTTGGCAAGAGCAGAGAATGGAGGAACACAACTGCTTCCCATCATGGATGTAGTTTTTTGGGGGGGCATGCCCCCCCCCCCCCCCCCCCCCCCACACACACACACACACACACACACACTTTTTCCACAGCGATTTTTTTGTCCCCTGCACCTTTTTCCTTCCAAAAACATTATTACGCTATATTAAATAGACACTGGTTGAGCACTAGGACCAGTCACTCTTCCCAGTCACGCAATCAGCAACTCTCAGGGCCTTCTTTTTCCAATCTCTGGAGGGCACCTGCACACTAAAATTTACTCTTTAGCTGACGCAACAGAAAATGAAAAGAAAAACAGACACGTTAGGAGTCGAGGAAAACAGATGTGTAGCTTCCTGACGGTTAGTTTCAAGTATCCAATAACAGAAAAGAAATATGTTCCAGAAGGTCTTGGGTATGTTGGTGAGTGTTGAACGATTGCAGAAGGTAGAAGTGTTTATAAAGATGGGGGGGGGGGGGTTAATAGAGGCATCCAAGATTGAAGCTAGGAAGCTGAAGGATTTCGAAAGAAACGTATATAGAGGATGTTAAAACACTGGAAATTGGGTAAATTAGCTTGTTAATGGAGAAAAGGAGGATTTCAGCCACGTGTCTAACAAACAGATCTATTTTGCCTGCACATCTGAATGCTCTGAGAGCCTCTTGCTGTTTGAACTAGCACCATCTAGGTTGTCTGATATCACAACATTTTATCCTCGTGTTATTTTCACTGAAGCAGGTCACAGATTTAAAACTGAGAAAAATCCTCATCCAGATCTCAACTCCGTTCTCCAGTCATATAACCACAGTCGACAAGCTGCAGCCACACTGGGCCCAACTGGACCCATCAGAACCAGGGGGATGGTCTTCACAACTTGCTGATAATTAAGGAGAAACGCATGTACCCAGTGGCTGAAATGACAGATCCGAGTGGACGCAGCCATGACTGGCCATACGATCAGACCTCAGGGACAGATGAGAGGAGGAGGTTATTCTCCAAAACGTCTGAACAGGGAAGTAAGACACCTTTATCCACTACAATTACCATAACAACACAGTTTGCTTATTAATGCACATAGAAATGCTTACAGAGGTAAACCATATACTTAAAATGCAAACCACAACATCAAGTATATATATATATATATATATATATATATATATATATATATATATATATATAACAGTCATATAGTATAACATAAAACAAATGAAAGATGACTACAAATGGAAGTTAAAAATTAAGACAATAAAAGATTTAGGTAAAAGCAGCTTTAAATAAAAGGGTCTCCAGACTGTCGATGCTACGTAAGGGTAAAAGAAGTTCATTCCAAAGTCGGGGTGCAACAGCCTGGAAGGATCAATCACCTATACTTTTTTATCTGGTCTTTGGAACTTCTAGAAGGTTCTGGTGGGTGGACCTGAGGGCTCGGGTTGGAGCATAAGGCTTTAACAGTTCAGTAATTTAGGGAGGAGCTTGACCATGTAGAGCCCTGAAAGTTATAGTCAGGATTCTAAAGTTAATGGGTAACCAGTGCAGAGACATCTGTCAAACTGCGAGCGCCGGAGGATTGGACCCAAAACGCAGAACACTACACAACTCAAGGCAGGAGAGGTTGTATAAAATAAAGATCCTTTTATTAGGAAAAACAAAACTGCAGGACTCTAAGCCAAAAATCTAAAGTTCTAAAGACAAAAACAAAAGCTCACTCATGAGCCAGGATCTATAGGTATGTAGAGGACAAAGCAACGCTGACACAAGACAATGAACCGACAACACATTGAGACGCAGACAGGGTTATATACACAGAGGGAACACGGAGGGAAACAATCAGGGAAACAGGTGACAGGTGTGTGGGGAGTGAGATCAGAAGGGATCAGGTGAGACTGATTAACTGAGTGGGGAAACTGACTAGGTAAACTCAGGCCTAGTCCACACGTAGCCGGGTTTTTTAAAAAACGAATATCCGCCCCTCCAAAAACTTGCATCCACACCACCTCATTTAAAAAAAAAACTCTGTCCACACGTACCCAGATAAATACGTTGTTAAGGACATGCCAGACCTGTAGGCGGCAGTACTTCCCCGTTCTTAACCTCGTCCTTCGTCTGTGGTCTTCCGCAAGGAGCAGTAATCCCGCTTGCAAAAACAAACAAGCAAAAAGCGCTTGGACAATTGATAAAGCGAGCACAGCTCTGAGGGCATCCGTGCTGTCGGCTAGTGTAAACACAGGTCGCACACGTGATGTCAGCATTTTTTTGTCGCGGAAAGTGACGTTGCGGACCTTAAAACTCCGGTTTTGTCTGTCCACACGCAGACACCCAACACGGAGAAAACGCAGTTCTTCACTTTGGTCGGAGTTTTTAAAAAGATCCGTTTTCATGTGAAAAAACTCCGTTTTCGTGTGGATGACAGGCCAAAACGTAGAAAAATATCTACGTTTTGGCAGATCCCCGGCTACGTGTGGACAGGGCCTCAGTCTACAGAGAACTAAAGATAAGTGAACTAATAAACCTGAAAACTAGACATCAGAAGAAAAACTTTAACAAGGATGGGATAACTAAATCTGAAATCACAAAGGGGGAACCTGAGGGAAACCTGGAGGGAGCTGAAGACCTAAGGGGCACAGAAACCTAAGGGGAAAACCTGAAGTGGGTTGGGGAGCACAAGGAGGCACCTGAGGGGAGGATGCAGACAAGGAGACATATAAAGGGGAACCTAGAGCGGGCAGGAGAACACAAGGAGACACATGAGGCGGACGCAGGACGCAGAACATGACAACATCAGAATAGGAGTGACATGTGCTCTTCTGTTTGCTCCAGGAAGGAGCCTCACTGCAGAGTTCTGGACCGACTGAAGGCGGTCAAGGGCTTTTTTGTTAAAACGTGAAGTGTGTGTTACAGTAATCTAGATGGGAGGAGATAAAGGAATGGAGAACCATTTCAAGTTCATGTTTTGACACCAACCTTCGCAGTTTGGAGATATTTCTGAAGTGTTAAAAACTTTATTGTCTTTATCTTAGTGAATCTATAATTAATTCAACAGTAGTAGCACAGTAGTAGCATTTTTCATGTCAAAGGGAGTAAAATGTTATTATCAGGAGAGGGAGAATGTAGCAGCACCTCCATGAGGCCACTACAATCCAGCAGAACACCATTGTTACTTCTTCTGAGGAGATAAACACATAGAGAGAAAATAAAGTTAACAGCTGAAATAGCAGAAAATAATGCTATAAGAGAGAAGCGGTAGATGTGATGTTTTAGTCGCAAACAAAAAGGCTCTTAGAACTGGTTTACCTAAGTGAGATCAAAGCTGGCTCCCTCTTGGAGGAGCCGGAGTGACACAGGCCATACCTTGCATGGTACCTCGCATCACCATGAAAGCAGGGAGAGGGATAGTGAGCACAAAATGCCTTGGACAAATATTACAGTAAAATCATGTCAGGAGCAGCAGCCACTCATCGTCACCTAAAACACTAAAGCTCTTAGGAAAAACACCCAGATATCCACAGATCCCTCACATGCTCTCCACTTTTATTACTCCAAGTTACCATCAGGTCATCGGTTTAGGTCCCTCTCACTGAAAACAAAAAGGGCTTCCCCAGTTTCTTTCCCTCCTCAATCAGC